CTGTCTCATTGCTATTTGTTTATCAATAAAATTATGGAAAAGAAAACCACACAGACTGTTGGACCCTGCTGCAGAGCTCCTGATACAGACAGATCCCAGGTCCCTGAGTGTGGCTGGGCAGGCCCACACTCAGAGCCACTGTCCTGATCCAGCCCACCTGGGGGAGTCTTACCTTTGGCGAATTCAAGAAGAATCCTGGAACATCAGTAGAAGTACAAATCTTCCCACTGGGGATATTCAGAATTGAGGCCGTTGGAGGTGTCTCGTAGACCATAGGGACACAGGTGACCCTGAAATATATAATATTTAAAGATCTATTCCACCATAATCAAAACCTACAGAACTTAGACAGTTCTGCAATGGAGAGACATGTTTTGGACACTGACCAGAGGGACCATGGAAGGGCTCCTGTGCTGGGGGAACCACAGGGGTCTGGGCAGCTTTCTCTTTTATATTAGTTTGTGGGTGGATGTGGTGCTTGGGGTCAAACCCAGGGCCTCACACATGCTAGGCAAGTGCTTTACCACTAAACCACACCCCCAGTCCACTGAAGATCTTTATACAGTAAATCCCAGGGTGGTCTACTTGCTGAGTATATGCCAACTGCCTGCTCAGTATAGTTACAACAGAGAGAAAATTTGACACCTGTTTGTTGGTACTGGGGATTGAACCTACAGCCCCACATATGCTAGGCAAGCGCTCTGCCACTGAGCTGCATCTGCAGCCCCAAGGAAATCTTAACTTAGAAGTACAGTGAGCCTGACAGGAACTTACTAAAGCTTCCCTTGCCTGAGCTAAAATTAATCATTAAAATAAGCTGAATGCACTAAAGCACTATTCATCACATATAAGCTCTGACATAACAACAGGAAAAGCAAACACACATCATTCCTTTAAGGCACAGCCATCTTCACTGTCTTAGTGGCTTCCATAGTCCTAGCCATGCCCATGAGATTTCATCACAGTGTCTGTAAATTACTTTTGAGTCTATGAAAAACAGCCCTGCTATAAAAAGCACAGTTAGCTCATTCGAATTACAGAGTTGTGAGTTCAGTCACTATTTTTTGTGGGTTTTCTAGTAAAGAGTCTCAGACATGAAGATCAAAGGAATGAAACAAAACAAGAGTCCTGCATAGACCCCAGGATGCCACACTC